CTCCCCCTATGATGGGCCCTCCAGCCGGCTGCCTCCTATGGGCTAAACAGAGTCCAATAAATTAAACTCAAATCAACATAATTCTCCATCTCGCTCCACACACACACCCGCCATCCCCCGTGCAGCCCCTTCGCCGCTCCCCAGCTTCTGCAGGGTTGTCATCTTGCTCTTGCACAGACCAACGCTGACTAGAACTTTCTATCCAGAGACCCTCCCCCAAACTCAGCAGTGCTTCTCCTTCTTGTGCCGGGGGATCTCACCCACCGTTCCCAGGGGCCGAGAGGGGAACCAAACCCAGGGTGCTGTGGTGAGCAGCTAAGATCTGCTCCCCCAGACACCTCCCAGCTGCCTCCTGGACTCCTTCCTACCTTGGCTTTCCTTTGGGTCCTTTGCACAGCTCCTCCCTGGCCTCTCTGCACAGCTGCTTCTCTCCAGACCTTCCCTCCAGCCTCCAGGGACCATAGAGAAATGGGAGAGTTTCTCCTCACAGCCCCCATCTCGTCTGGGCCACCTCCCTTTCTACTCACTGCCCAGCCCTTCCCCTGCTGAGCTTCATCTCCAACTGGGCCGGGCCCACCCTCCAGCTCCAGTTACCCCTCTTAATGCCAGTGCGGGGTCAATACCCATCACACGGGGTCATGGTTTGGGGATGGGAAACCCTCCCCGGCTCCGACACTCCCCATCTGTGCAAACGCTCCCTGTGCTGCAGCAGAACCTCCAAATGTTAGTTCAAAACACTCCCCAAGGACACAGCAGGACCAGAGGGCTGGTTTCAGAGTCATGACCGTGAATGAGCGAGATCCCCAGGTGGTGTCAATGGGCCATAGCTCCACTGGAGTCAATGGGGCCAGATCCCCAGAGGGTGTAATACACTGACATTCATCTAAGGTCCATTTACCCCAGCTCAGTCCCTGGCCCAACATCGGAGGTATCAATCACTTGGGGCTGCTGCTCCAGCCCCCACACATACAGACAGCATAACCATAACCTGCAAACTACAACCTTTCCATAGACACCCCACTTGACCTCCTCTGTACAAGACCCGGTGCAACCATAGGACCCTGGTTACAACAATGATCTATACAGTCACAGTTCATGTCAATAACACCACACTTACCTAGACACTTCAACACTGGATTAGATAAAACAGTAGAACAAGTTTATTAATTACAACGAGACAAATTTCAAGAAAGTATGAGCAATGAAGCATCAAAGTCAGAAATTGTTCCAAGAAAGATAAAGATAAAATGCTTCCTAGTATCTGCTTAAGAAACTACTGGAGTTACAAAGCAAACTTTCTCACCTTGTGCTCCAGCAGATGACATCAGGACCCCCTCCCCCAGAGTCCAACAGCTGTTTCCTTTGTCTTCACCGGTGCAGAGAATGAGGTGCACAGGGAGAGAGACAGAGAGATAGAGAGAGGTGTCTTGGTGTGTTTATCATTCCTTTTGATAGTTTCAGTCCCCCTCTTGAAAATGTTTCCAGCTGAGACCCAGGAGCCGAACAGTCTCTTTGGAAGGATGTTCCCTGCTGTTTTTTTCACCGGTTTGAAATTCCTCTGTTTTCCCTCCCTGCTTGATCACTCTGTTTACTGCTTAAATGAAAACTAAGGAAAGCACATGTTCCTTCCTTTGGTTGGGACAGATCTGCCTGAGCAGAGCTGTGGGGTTTGGAGCATGTGTTAATCTTGTAATGTCACATACAATGGCGTCACACATAGTTTACCAGGACAATAATGACCAGCAAATTATGAGTTTTCAAATGGTACCTTATAAGGCATGCTTTGTAGAAAGATTATTACAACAGTGTGTAGGGCGTCAACATAGAAGTGTATTCTGTCATAAACACTCCCCTCCCAGAGCTAGAATAAAACCCAGGAATCCTGGATCCTAGCCACTTGCTGTAACCCACTGGACCCCATTCCTCTTCCCAAGCCAGGATAGAACCCAGGAGTCTTGGCTCCCAATACTTTTCCTGTGATCACTGGACTAGTACCTCTAGCTGATGCGCACAGATTGCAATAGAGAATTTTCGACAGTCAACAAACACAGTCAATGTCTGAGAAATAGCTCATTGGCACCAGCTGGGGATCTGGCCAATGAACTCCAATGTCGCTATGGCCAATTGACACTAGCTCCACTGAAGTTAAAAGATCAGATGCCCAGCCAATCTACAAGAAGGCCATATTGGTTAAAAAGCTGACCTGGTTTAGAGGGAAAGTGAAGGCAGCTATATTACCAATGGAAGAAAGAGAAATTGATAGTAATAAATATAAAAC